AAAAAAAAAAAAAAAAAAAAAAAAAAAAAAAAAAAAAAAAAAAAAAAAAAAAAAAAAAAAAAAAAAAAAAAAAACAAAAAAAACAAAACAAAAACCCTGAAACAAAAAAAAATTAACCAATCAAATTTATAAAAAAAAAAAAGTAGCAGACTAATGTTATTTTGCAAAGGGAAAGTCATTCTTCCAGGCACTGAGAGGGCAGGGGAACAAACCCAAATCTCCCCTGAAAATAGCCTGTAATAACAAATGGCTGCAGCCAATGCTTTGCTCTATTTAGGGCTGTAACAACAAGGCTGGGTCTACCCAAACAAGCTCCGTTTTCGTGACTCTAATGTGCCAAAAAAAGTGAGCAATCAGAGCAGACAGAACACACAAAGTCGAACTCTCAGTGCAGAAATGCAGAACTCGGTTGGGGTTGGAATTTCTTCCCCAGGAAGAGGAGAAACCCCTTCCCTATGGCTGAGCCTGACCAGGGAGGGGCACAGAGGGCCCCACACAAAAATCTGTGTCTCTGCTCAGCCTCTGCCAAAGTCCTGCCTTTCAACCCCTCAACAATTTTCTAAGTCACATCCCCCCAGCCCCACAACATTATTTTGCTCTGTGCTGCTTTTCCTCACCCCACAGAAATTCCAGCAACTGAGTCTCTCACAGAGCCACGGAAACCAAGGGGAACAAAGGTTCCTGAGGGCTGGCAGAAAGCTCTCCCCGCAAAGAGCTGACTGCTGTCTCACTGATCTCTTTGTGCCTGGGGCTCTGCCAGGCTCCCAGGCAGATCTGTCCTGCCCCAGAGCTTCGGCCAGGGCTGGGGTGAGCTCTGGAGCCCAGTACTCACTGCTGGAAGGGGATAAAATGCTGCTTCTCCTCGTCGTCCACCTTGCCATGGATGATGTCGGTGATGTCCATCACTGCAACGACACCAGAGCATCCCTCAGAGCTGCCAAGACCCCAGAGACAGCTTCTCCCTCTCAGAATGGAAACAGCAAAGGGTTATTTTGGGTCACTCAAAACAAGGGATCCTAGTGACCTGGGATAGTGGAAGGAGTTCTGGCCATGGCAGGGGTGGAACTGCATGGGATTTAAGGCTATTTCTAACCCCAAAACATCTGGGATTCTGTGACAGCAACAGAGGGAATCACTCTCATTTTAGCTTTTTTAAAAGCACATTTACATTGATGTGCATGTCAGCCCACAGCAGTGAGTGTGAATATACTGAATACACTCTGATAAAATACTCTGAGAAAAACCAGGTGGGACTGGGGCATTTCAAGGCAAAGAAACTCCACTTCTATTCAAATGCTGCCTCTTTGGAAATTGATTTCCACCGAGGATTTCAAGTAAGCCCCTTCACAAGAAATCCCAGGAGCAAAATAAGAATTGGCAGTCTGGCTCACCAAGGCTTCTTTAAAACCTCCAGCTTTATCCCACAAGTCCTGAGGAGCAAATCCCACTCTGATAAGGCCCTGTAAGTCTCTGCAGCCTGGCAGCCCGTTATCTTTGGGGGAGGTGACAAAAGGGAGCAGTGACAGTGTTTGATCTCCAGCTCCCACTGCATGAAGGGTTCTCGTGGGGACAGTTTGTCTGCTCTGGGGCAGAGCTGCTGGCCCTGGCACTCACAGCACACAATTCCCAGCTCCCAGCCCCGTGTCCCAGTCCCCCCAGGCACCCAGGCAGGGCTTCTGGGTCGTGCTGGTGTCCCCAGGGTGTCGGAACTCCAAATGTCCCTCAGACATTTTTGGAGGTTCCGGGCCCAGGTCAGAAGATTTGAGACCCTGGCAGGCAGCTGCAAACAGCTGTGATTTTGGGTTTGAACCATGGAACAATTTACCAGCCTTGCAGGAAGAACAAGAAGTCACAAAAGTTTAGATATTAGCGTATAAGTGGTCACAAAGTAGAGGGAAGAATTTCTGAGTGCTGTTCAGGGGGGTTTTGGTTTTGTACATGGGGGTCAGAGGGTTTAAGATGGATTTGGGATTTGGGCCTGCCCTGTCCTCCCTCTTTCTCCTTCCTCACCTCCATGTTCTTGGTGATGTTGGCACTCACAGATTGGTTTAGAGTAGAAAATCACCATTTAATATAGGTAATAGGCATTGGGGAAAGCTGTAACCATGTAACACGTAATGTACCATATAAAAGATAGAAAATCACCATTTAATATAGGTAATAGGCATTGGGGAAACACTATAAACATGTAACACGTAGTGTACCATATAAAAGATAGAAAAGCACCATTTAATATAGGTCATAGGCATTGGGGAAAACTGTGAACATGTAACATGTAATGTACCATATAAAAGATAGAAAATCACCATTTAATATAGGTAATGGGCATTGGGGAAAACTGTAAACATGTAACACGTAATGTACCATAGAAAAGATAAAAAAGCAGCCCTGGGCAGGGGGAGAAGAAGCAGATGGGGTCAGAGAGGATGTCAGGGTGTGTGTGTGCCTCTGCCTGAGCTGTGAGCAAACCACAGCAGCCCCAGGAGAAAATCTTTTAGATAACTTGCAATAAACTGCCTTGAGACCCAACAACAGAGACTGCTGAGCCTTTCTTTGGGAGCTTGGGTTGGAGGAGAGACTTTTCCAGCACACGGAGCCCTGAAGCAGGGATTGCTCCGGCACCAGGGTGGCAGTGCTCACCTGCCACGCCGAAGGGCCTGCGGAGCCCCCAGGTGTGCTTCTTGCCATCCTTCAGCTCCATGTGCCCCACCCGCACGATCTGGCACACCAGGCTGATCCTGGGCCTGATCAGGTCAGAGCTGCTCAAGTCCTGAAAAAAAAAAAAAGAGTTCACATCAAATTCTATTGTAAATGCAGGAGAATCCAATGGGAAGAAATGACAATGTCTGACTCAATTCAGAAGGCTGAATGATTTCTTTATTAAAACTATGCTAAAATACATTAATATACTATAGAAAAGGAGGGTACTAAAACTAGATACTACTTTCTCTGACGCTAACACAACTCGTGACCCTCTCTGAGAGCCCAGCCCCAGGTGGGTTGGATTGGATTGGATTGGATTGGCCACCAGGCTCAAACAATTCTCACCAGAATCCAATCAAGCACTCACCCCAGGTAAACAATTCTCCAAACACATTCCACATAGGAAAAACAAGGAGCAGAAATAGAAATTGTTTTCATTTCATTTCTCTCTGTGCACCTCTATGAATAATCCTGAGAGGGAGAGAAATGTGCTGCTACAAAGTTCCATCCATGTCCTTTCTGGGTGGTAAAGAAGAAACAAGGAGAGTGGGAGGGAGGGGTTTTGTTGGGCTCTACACAGGTAAAAATTGTGGCCCTCTGGATCTGGAGGGAGACCACGAGGGGGATGGAGACATTGTAGTGCCAGGACACAGGGAATGGCTTCCCACTGCCAGAGGGCAGGGAGAGAGGAGATACTGGGGAGAAATCCTTCCCTGGCAGGGCTGGGATGGAATTCCCAGTGAGCTGTGGCTGCCCTGGATCCCTGGCAGTGCCCAGGCCAGGCTGGAGCACCTGGGACAGTGGGAGGTGTCCCTGCCATGGCAGGGGTGGCACTGGGTGGGATTCAGGTCCCTCCCAACCCAACCTCTGCTGGGATTCTCTGAACTTACAGTAAACACAGCTTGGAGGTTGTTCAGTTTCTCAATTTCTTTAGGCATCCCATTGCTGCCCCAGCGAACCAGGTAATTTTCACTGCAAAGAAAGGGAGAAAAAGCAAATTTTAACAAATCAACACCTGACATCTTCATTCCCTGGCAAAAGCCCAACAGCATTTTGACCTTTTAGGAATATTTGACCAGTCTTTTATCCCAAAATGCTTCTGGAGTGACTCACTTATGGAGGCAGATGGGGTGAGCCCTGGCAGCTGCTTCCCTGGACAATTCCCACTGCGTGGCCACACCTGATAAGTGCAGTGGTGGACACAGAGTGTTCCTGACACGGAACTGCCTCCCTGATAAAGTTCCTCATATCCTCCCCAACTCTTCAGATGTGAACTGGCATTGACTGGATGGCAAACAACATTTAAATCCATGATTTACTGGGAAATAATTAATGAAATGTTTCACCAAGGCTTGCAGCCACAGCAGGGAAAATTAACAATATAAAAAGACAATGTGGGATCAAAGAAATACCTAGCTCTAGGCAGGACAGTGCCTGGACTTCCTATCTCTTTGAAATTCATTCCAAAGTAATTGGAATTAATTTTCCCCCACTGGGGCAGCAACCAAGAGAACTGGAAAACATCTGCTGGATCTCCCTTCCCAACCTGCTGACTTCTACGAATGGTGACTGCATTGCATAAGAATTTCCAAAAAAAAGCCCCTACCTGATGAATTTGGAGAGGTCAGGGTCATAGAGGCTCATCAGCAGCTCTGCATCTTCCCCAATGTTGCAGACAAAGTTTTTGAAGTTCACATAGAGGCTGTAAGTGTGTGTGGAGTTGAATATTGGCTGTCCCCTGAGGTCCAAACTCTGCTGCAGGGACTGCAAAGAATTCCGTATTTCCATTAAATTTTATATTTATATACCAACAGACACAGGAGAATTTAGTTCTGCCGCCAAAGAAGCACAACGTTAAGAGGAATATAAAAACACGGCGGGCACAGTGACTGAAGAGGCCACACCAGGGACAGCAGAGGTACCTTCTCCTCCTGGATCCTCTCGTCAATCCTCTTGGATGCAGTTTCATGGGCCTTGAAGAGGGAGATGGTGCTGGTCTCATCGGGGTCCAGGATGTTCCCATTGTCATCTCGGACAACCAGGTCCAGACCCAGGATCCTGGACAGCCCCAGGAGACAAAAAAAAAGTCAGAGTGTGGGAGCAGCAAAGATCAAATCACTGCCCAGGCTGCCAGTGCCCAACATCCCACTCCTTGGAACAGCCTCACTCACTGCTGGCTTTCCTGCCTTAAAAACCTCCTCCCTCCCATTTTCCCATTAAAGGCAGAAAGAATTAGTCAGGTAACTCAATCCTAAAACGACATCTCCTTTATTCCTGCTTAAATGGCTTTGTTTCAGAGGTGGATGAATGCCTACCAAGCTCACAGATTGCAGCTGATTGTTATTCTTTCCATAAGCTTTTTAATTCACTTACTGGGCCTGACTCACAGCTGGCAGGCAGACAAGTGAGTGCTGGGGACTGCAAAGCACCCAGGGCTGGGCTGTCTGTGGAACCCTGCCCCTCAGCTGCTGATAGAGCATTTCCCCACCAGCATCCCGACCAGGCACGTGCTGTGCTCCGAGGGAAAGGCCACCCTGTGCCAGGAATTGTGCAGAATTAAGAGAGGAGAATTCCTGCCAAGGCACAGAGATCTGTGGCACATCAAGAACCACGTCCACCTGCCAGGTGGCCACCTTGTCAGAGGGACTCAAAGCTGCCACTTCACCTAATTTCAGCCCAATTCAGTGCCTGGTTCTGCATTAAGAGCCTTCCCCGGGGTTTGGGAGCCTCCAGGTGGAGTTTGGAGCTCACCTGTTGCCATAATCAATCTTGGCTGTGACTTTTTTCTTGAGCTCAGCCAGTTCATCCTTGGGCAGGGTCCCGGACAGGATTTGGGATCTCCACTCTATCAGGCTGTAGGTGAGCTGCTGGACATGCCTGAACTGCGTGGTTTTGTTGTTCTGAGGCAAAAAAAAAAATAGTCAATTTTAATCAAGGAAAACCTGGAAACCTCAGCAACCCTTGTGAAATGTGTGCAGCTGCAGAACCACACAAGTTTTCTTTAACCAAAAATACCTGGCACTTTGTGACACACAAGATCAGAGCCATGCAGTAAATTCTGCAGCACTTGGCACTGCCAAGGTTTAAGTGCCTTTAAGATATTTAAGTGCCTTTAAGGGCTTCACCTTTCCCTAGGACGTTATTTCAGAAAAACCTCACCCACTAAAAATAGACCTCTGGTGATTTCCAGCACTTCCAGACTGCTCTGATGGAGGTTTTTTATAAAAGGGACAGAGAAATTATGCTAAAGGACCACAGCTGAATAAGGACACTGAAAAAGCCCCGCCATCCCTTCAGTTATCATCTCCAATTAATGAAAATACTTCCCCTGCCCTTTACTGGTTGCACCCTCATAAAATCAGTCCCATACCCACACTTTGTTCCTGCACCTCCAAGCTCCAAGGCTGTAATTAAATTAAACATGGATACGTGGTAACCCACCCTGTTTGTGGCAGCATGTGCTCAGATAAATAAGCTTTTAGAAGTGTCTGGGAAGACACTGAACCCATTAAAAAGGGAGTCCAAAAAAAGGCTTCACTCTCTGCCTGCCACCTCAGTGGGGCAGCTCCTGGGAGGATTCTGACTCTTTTCACAGGGAATTGCCACAGATTTGAGTTACTGGCACAGTGATGAGGTGATTCAGCTCCAAAGGAGAAATTCAAGTGCACATCAGGGCCTGGTTTTGCACGGGGATCCCGAAGCCCAGGGGTTTGGTTTGGGTCACATCTGCCCCTCAGCCAGTGGCACCTTCTGGGGTTCACTGGGGGCTGGAGCTGTTAATGGTGAGCTACAAACCCCCTGCTCCCACCCAGCACAAAAAGAACTAAAATTCAATTTTCTCCCCATTCTCTTCTCCGCAATGGACAGGAATGGTGTCAGCTACTCGTATTTCCCTCAAATTTAAAGGTATGGAAACAATCCTCCCTTTGATTTGGGTGAACACCAAGGTGCTGACGAGGGCTGAGTTTTCAGCTCTATGGAAAGGATATTTGAGATATATTTCATAAATAAAAAAAAACCCCTCATGTTCTTATGTAAAAAAGCTTGCTAAGAAAAGGCAATTTGTTTGAATTTTCAGAGCAGATCTCAATTTGACCTGAGTTATCTCCACAGATAATTCCTATTAACTAAACCAATTAAAAACTCTCCTCAGTTTTGTATTTATTTTGCACTGCTGCAATGAAACCCACAGAAATTAAAGAAGTGAAATTAAATGCTGCCAAAATAAAAAATCCCCTCATGTTTCCCTTTTCTCTTCAAATGCCTCCTTCCTCCTTTATCTTTTTAAAAAATTCTTTTTCTACATACTGCAGGGAAAATAAAATAAACTCAAATCCATTTTAAACCACAACATTTTCCAAACCTATTTTAAGCCTTGTAGTGGTTAAGCACAGGAACATGAAAGATTTCTGCTTGTTAAAATAACAGATTGTGAGGCTGGGATCTGAAAGTTATTCAGAAATAAATATGCCAGGAACAAAACTCTCTTTTCACACAGTAATACCAGCACGTAGAGCTTCTCATTAAATTGAGAGGGTGGAACAAATTCTTGTGGCTTTGTGGCACACAAACACAACTTATTTGTGGCCTGGTGAAATTTCCAATAGGAAAACTTGCTGTGGGTGCACTGGGTGATTAGAGCTCATTTAAAACTCACCCCCTCTTCTTAATTAAAAGTATTGGAGCACGTCTTGTGCAGGCTGAACTCAGAGAAAAATCAAATTTGACTCTTTAGTGTGCCTTTAAAATAAAGGAACTCGCTGTGGACTCATTTCCTTGAGCAAGAAGCTGCAGGACAGTCCTCAAATCCCTGCAGTGGCAGGTTGGTGACACTGCTGAGGGGACTCTGTGCTCAGGGATTTATTTAGGACAGGAGAGCTCCTTCCCCACCCTGCTGAGAACCCCAGACAGGGGAGGCCTTGGAGCAGCCAAGGAATTCCTCCTGTGGGGCAGCTCCTGCTGGGACAGGGACAGGACCCAGGAGCAGCTGGGGCTGTGCCAGGGCAGCTCAGGCTGGATTTTGGGAAAGGTTCTTCCCCCAGAGGTGCTGGGCACGGCCCAGAGGCTGCCAGAGCTCCAGGAGGGCTGGACAGCCCTCCAGGGGTGCCCAGGGTGGGATTTTGGGGGGTCTGGATCAGTGATCCCATCCAGCTCAGGATATTCCATGATGTTTTTGACAAGTCACATCTCCCCCCACAACACATCCCTGAATTTTCCCTGCTCCCCAGGGGTGCCCAGGGTGGGATTTTGGGGGGTCCAGATCAGTGATCCCCTCCAGCTCAGGATATTCCATGATGTTTTTGACAACTCACATCTCTCCCCACAACACATCCCTGAATTTTCCCTGCTTCCCAGAGGTGCCCAGGGTGGGATTTTGGGGGGTCTGGATCAGTGATCCCCTCCAGCTCAGGATATTCCATCAAGTTTTTGACAACTCACATCTCTCCCCACAACACATCCCTGAATTTTCCCTGCTTCCCAGGGGTGCCCTGGCTGGGGATCAGCCATCCACAGAATCCCTCCAGCATTCCCAGCCCAGCAGAGCCGTGTCCCAACTCCAGCTTTGTGCCCGGCTGGGTTTTCCTGCCTCTGCCCCAGGCACAGGGCGCCCTGCAGAGCTGCCACGGGCTGATGTTATGGTGTTTGTATCCCCACTCGTGTGCTCTGTTTATGTTTGATATTCTGTCCTGTGCTTTCAAAATGACTCTGAAAGTGAAGGTTTGTTTTGTCTTGCCCATGGTCTGCTGTCTAGAAGAGGCTGGTGCTGGCTGGCTTGCTTTTGCTTTGCTTGCTTGCTTTTGCATTAGTTTATAAGCAGTCCAATTCTTTCCCTGGACTGTTTTTTTTTTCCTTTCCCTTTCCTGAATATCACTCCAACTGCTCCAAACTGGGACCTGGGAAACACAGAGGAACACCGAGAGCCTGCGCTCTGTGATCTGCAGCAGCCATCCACATTTCTCTCCCTCTCAGGAATTTTCATAGAGGTGCACAGAGAGAAATGAAAGAGAAAACAATTTCTATTTCTGCTCCTTGTTTTTCCCATGTGGAATGTGTTTGGAGAATTGTTTACCTGGGGTGAGTGCTTGGTTGGATTCTGGTGAGGATTGTTTGAGCCTGGTGGCCAATCCATCCCAATCCAATCCAATCCAATCCAACCCAACCCAACCCAACCCAACCCACCTGGGGCTGGACTCTCAGAGAGGGTCACGAGTTGTGTTAGGGTCAGAGAAAGTAGTATCTAGTTTTAGTACCCTCCTTTTTCTATAGTATATTAATGTATTTTAGCATAGTTATAATAAAGAAATCATTCAGCCTTCTGAATTGAGTCAGACTCAGCATTTCTTCCCATTGGATTCTCCTGCATTTACAATAATCCCCAGTGCCCAGACCCAGGTGACCACTCCCAGGAGAGACTTTCTAGATTTGTCATCTCTTCAGAGTGGTGAAAGGGTTTTGTTGTCATCAGTGCTGTTAATTTTTTTTGGTGCTGGGGAGGGTTTTATCTGTTAAATAAACAGATTTTTTTCACTTCTCTCTGTGAAAATGCTTCCCAAACCAGGTGGGTGGGGAGGGGCCGTGTTTGTTTTCTGGGGGGAATCCTTCCAGAGGTTTTTCCCCCAAATTTGCCCTAAACTCAGCTCAGCTGGGCACGGAGCAGCCCCCGAGAACTCACCACGTAGAGCTTGTGCCAGATCACTGCCCACTCCCGCAGCGTGGCCGTCAGCTCCTGGCCCAGGGGCAGCTCGCTGGGAATCACCGTCTCGTGCTGCCTGCGCAGAAACGTGTCACACTCGGGGTTAAAACTTCATGGAAAACACCCTTGGTTGAGAAACACCACAAATGGGACTCCAGAGGAGTTGATTTGCACACAACTCGCTCACACGTGGTGTCAAACCATTAAGCTCTTCTCAACACAGCCATCATCCATTCTTAATGCAAAAATGTCGTTGTTTGACGCTGGCACAATGCCTGCCCTTATGAAAATGCAACCTCTCAACTGGATGCTGTGAAATGCAATCAGGAAACAGAGCAGAGCTGGCTTAATGTAATCACAAGGGAAAACTTTATTAACCTACTACTACTATACTATTATAAAAGAAAAAAGAAAGGGGAAAAAAAACCATACAAAATTTAAAATGAAAACTTTTTAAAACATTCTTCTTCTCACTACCTAACTACAGTGAGACACAACCTGGACCCCAACCAGGTTCTCACCTTCTAGATAATTAATACTCAGTTTATTGAGGGAGAGAGGAGCCTTTCTTGTGCCACAAACCCCCTAAGGAACACAGCTGCCACATCCTGTGCTTCTATGCCACACATGGCACTGCTCGGAGAAAATCTGCTGGTGTAACACTTTCCTTTTTATGTACCATACTCTACTCTTTGCTTCTGATTGCAAAAATTATTATTAAAATTATATTTAACACACTTTTACATAAAACAATAGTTTACACTAAACATCTACTTTAATTTACCTTATCACTTAATACTTGCTTTGTTCTTATATTAAACTACAACAAAAATGCTTCAAGCTCCTTTCACTCCAGCGGATCTGTTCCAAACCCAGGATAAAGAGACAGAAACGAAGTTTGGACAAATCCCCACTTGGGATGGTAACAGTTACTTGAAAATAAGTGTTTAAAAAGAAGTGTTTTATAAAGCTGCTTCCTTTGCAGCCGCTGTTAACGAGCACAGACCCAAGGAATCCAAGGAGGAGTCATTTCCTCCAGTGTTTTCCAAGACAGGAAGGAATCCACGCTCCTGCTGGGCCCTTGGCTGCCTGCAGGAGGCTGTTAGGACTTCCAGGAGTCCCCGGAGGGGCTGGATGGAGCTGGACTGACCCTCCCCACTACTGACTCGTCCAGCAGAGCCTCCTCCATCCTTCAAACCATCTCCTGCTGCCCCTGCTCTGCCCCGCCAGCGCTCCGAAAAATGCAATTGTGCAGTGCAAGGAGGTACACGCTGGGCTCGTGGCACCCACAGCTATTTGAATTGCTTCTTTTTGGGTTTAAACGGAATGAAATTCCCTGGGTTTTGCTGCCAAAGAAGTGCCAACCTACCCCCGGTCCTTCACGATGGCCTCTTTTAAATGGATGTAAGTTTCTGGGAAAATGCCCTAAAAATAAAGAGAGAAATGAAATAAATCAATTCTACTGTGGGATAGGATGTGACAAGAAGATATTTAACAGCAAACAGGGGAAAGGAGTAAGAAATGTCCCGGTATGCCAGGAAAAAAGGACAGGGAGGAGCGACAGGTTCCACATTGGCAACTCAGAGCATCTGATTCCTTGTTTTACTCTAATGAACCTCATCTTCCTGCAGGAAATTCCTGAAAATTATCAGTAATTCTCATGAAATATTCCTGCAGTCCTCCGTCATGCTACCCCGTGCTCCCTAGAAAAGCTCCCATCACCAGCAGCTGCAGAATTTCCCAAATTCTTGTTGCTGCAGAGAAACCTCCTGGAAATGCTGGAATCCTTTTCTGCTCCCTTTTCTCTCCTCTTCACCCCTAAAGCCAGAGGCTGTGGGGGATTGAAATGAAGATGAAAAATTAAAGATTAATAAAGATTTGTAGGGAATGGGTATTTTTATTTATAGTGCTGTGGATGCACGTTGGGATTTATTGCTTTTTGATGGACATGGGTACTTTTGAGAACTTTTGATTTTTTTTTAATTATTCTTATTAATTTTTATATGCATAGGATTTTATAATAGGTAAATGCATATTTATTTTGCTGGTTTTACATTATACTTATAGCTAGTTACAACTGTACTTAGTTTTTGTCAGAAAGTACAGAAAGAACTTTTGGGTCACTCTGCCCTGTTTTAAGGTTTGAGGAGTCTTTTTTATTTCTTATTTTTTAGTGTGGAAATTTGCATTCTTTTTCTCTAGTTGGGGTAGTTTTGCTAGGCCTGCAGTCACTAGACTAAATAGCATATTTAGCAAGCTTAAAGTGGCACATTTTATCTAGATCTAAATGGATTTTTACCTTGTTAAATTTTTACTCTGTCTCAGGATGTCACCACAGGAGAGGTGCAGCATTCCTGGGGGAACCTGGATTTCCAAGCAGCCTCCAGCCCATGCTCCAGCAGCTTGGCTGAGAGCCAGGGATGTTTAATTTCTGGAATATCTTCCAGTCAAAACTCTGATATTCCCATTAAATAAAACAAATTCTGGATGTGCAGAGGTCCCAGAGCATCATGATAAAGCAATAAACCCCTGTATGGAGATGGGAGCAGGGAATTTTGGAAATTCCAACTGCATTCCTCACGCTTCCAGTGCAGGAATTCCCAACACGTGGCTCTGAACTTGCAGCTCCAGGTCATTAATTCCTGTCACTGAGGACAGGACACCACAGCAAGGAGTCCTGCCTGAGCTTCAGACAAGAAATAAAGGAGTTTTCAGCAGCAGATGGGGTCTGGCGAGGTGTGAAATTAAAATGGGAGTCACCCAAAAGTGAGGTCGTACCTTCTTGGATTTATTCCGGAGCGTGTATCCTCGGTACCAGCCTGGCAAAGCAAACACAGATATTTGTACTTAATTATTTCCTGTTGGCAGCAATGAAATACGGATTGTGATTCTCACCACCTTTCTACAACACCAATTTATTGATTTTCTCATTTGGGATCCACTCCTGGGAGACACCTCTGTTTGTAGGAGCTGAGCTCCCTGCCCTGGCACAAATCCTGTTTATCAATCCTACCTTTGGGAAGATCTAAAAACTGTAAGAAGCAATAATTGTGCTGCCCAGGCCTCAGGAGCAAATGTTTCTGAGAGAACATTTCTCCTTCTTTGGCACCAGGGTTTTCACCAGGATTTCCATGGAAGGGGTTGGGTTGGGAGGCTGAATCCATTTAATGGCTGAATTCATTAAAGCCCCTCCCAGGAGATTACATCCAGCTGAGTGGCAGCATCAAGAAGGCAAAGGGGTTTAAGGGAATAATCAGGAAAAGAAGAGAGGAGGGGAGGCTGCTTCCTCTGGGTTTATTTTCTACATTTTTTTGGTGTTTTTATTGTTGGTCCCCCCCCATATTCCTAAATTTATCGAGGATGGTCCCATAAAGAACCATGGATCTGACACTCCTCAACCATACATCATACATACTTAAAATGGTTTAATTAGTATTTTATTGAGTATTTTTATGTGCATGTGGTTGAATTTCTATTTATTTATTTTCTGAAGTGCAGTTTTGTGTCTTTTATCCAGCAATGGGGAGGTACCTCCACCTCAAAAATTCCAATACTCCAGTAATGAGTTCAGAGGAAAGAAGAAATTCCATTTCTTTCCACAGGAGGAAAACAAGATTATCCATTGCTCATGGAGCCATGGATGAGGTCCTGGATTAGGGATGAGAAGATTTAGGTTCTATTTTTATCTAAGTTGCCATTAATTGAAGGGGAAAGCACAAATGACTCCGGGTGGGAGACAGAGCTCATTGGAATTTCCCAGGAGGGATTTTGATCCCATTGAACACGTTCAGCCCTTGGACAGAACCACTTCCCCCTGTTTCAAAGGGCCCCTTGGCCTTCCCCCCATTCCTGTAAAATATTTTGCAATCATTGCATAAAAGCATGTTGGGTCTGATTGTGCAAAGCTGTTTCTGCAAGCACCTCCTGCAAGTTCTGTCAGAATTCTGCTCGCACCTTCAATAACTTCATCCATCACTTCAACATGAACATCAATCTTTGGGCAGTGGTTAATTAACTATGTGATTTCTTCTTAAAGAAACCCCCAAAATCTGCTTAAATCTTCAGAGGAATGAGACTGTTTAAGTGTTTTGAGTGGTTTTCCCCTAGCAGAGATGGGCTAAAAACTGAGAAAGGTTTTGTAGCTGATGATGACAGGGAAAATTTCAGCTGCTCCAACACTCAGACTGAAATCTGAGTGAAAACAAAAAAAACAAAGCAGACTTGCAAAGAAATGACTCGAAGTTTGGGGTTGTTTTGTTGGGGTTGATCAAGTCCTCAATTTTACCCTTCACTAAGTGGATTTTATGCAGCATGGAAAAGACAAATTCAGACTGAAATCTGAGTGAAAACAAAAAAAATAAGCAGACTTGAAAAGAAATTACTGAAAGTTTGGGGTTGTTGTTTTGTTGGGGTATTTTTAATGGATGAAGTCCTCAATTTTACCCTTCACCAAGTGGATTTTATGCAGCATGGAGAAGACGAATCTAAGGACAAGGCTCCGGTGATGATCAAGTTCTCCGCAGTGATGCAAGGCCAGGTCACGTGTGGGACCACAAGGTCCCTGTTCCTCCTCCTGCGGGGTCTGTCCTGTCCCACAGCACTCAGGGCATTGCTTCACCCTCCCCAGGGCTGAGCAAAACCAGGAACAAATTCAAGGTGAACTCCTTTTCAGCAGGAGCAGCACCTGCCCGGGGTCACGGTATGTGAGCACACATTCCTTCCAGCCACAGCGTGGCTTTTCCTGCAGTCCCCCTGAAATCCTACAGCTAAAAAAATAATGATAAATCCTGCAGATGGGGAGGGATTCCTTGTGTAAAAGGAAAAGGGGATCCAAGAAAAGAGATCTGAGAGCCCTCATGTGTCCTACACTGATGGTTACTGGCACACAGAAGCATCCCTGGAAGTGTTTCCATCCCAAGGCCAGGTTGGAGCAACCTGGGATAGTGGAAGATGTCCCTGCCCATGGCAGGGGGTGTGACAGGATGATTTTAATGTCCCTTCCAACCCAAACCACTCAATGACTCCACAGACATCAGCTCATAGTGGAAGTATCTGGAACCTTCATTCACTGCTCAGCCTGTGGTTTTCCTCTGATGTCCTCCCCTATGCCCTTTGTCCAAGTTGGAGCTGAATTTGCAGGGATATCACCCCCTGATGAATCCCTGGCACAGAGGAGCTGCAGCTCAGAAAAATGAATCAATCACCCCGTGTGTCATCCCTGTCGTGTGATCCCTGCTGCGTTACCCACCCCTGTGTGATCCTGTGTGTTATCATCCCCTGTGTGTGATCCCTGCTGTGTTATCATCCCCTGTGTGTGATCCCTGCTGTGTTATCATCCCCTGTGTGATCCTGTGTGTTATCACCCCCTGTGTGATCCCTGCTGTGTTATCATCCCCTGTGTGATCCTGTGTGTTATCATCCCCTGTGTGATCCCTGCTGTGTTATCATCCCCTGTGTGATCCTGTGTGTTATCACCCCCTGTGTGATCCCATGTGTTATCACCCCCTGTGTGATCCCTGCTGTGTTATCACCCCCTGTGTGATCCCTGCTGTGTTATCACCCCCTGTGTTATCCTGTGTGTTATCACCCCCTGTGTGATCCCTGCTGTGTTATCACCCCCTGTGTGACCCCGTGTGTTATCATCCCCTGTGTGATCCCGTGTGTTATCACCCCGTGTTATCCTGTGTGTTATCACCCCCTGTGTGACCCCGTGTGTTATCATCCCCTGTGTGATCCCGTGTGTTATCACCCCCTGTGTGATCCCTGCTGTGTTATCCACCCCTGTGTTATCCTGTGTGTTATCACCCCCTGTGTGATCCCTGCTGTGTTATCACCCCCTGTGTGATCCCGTGTGTTATCACCCCGTGTGTGATCCTGTGTGTTATCACCCCCTGTGTGATCCCTGCTGTGTTATCACCCCATGTTATCATGTGTGTTATCACCCCCTGTGTCATCCTGTGTGTTATCACCCCGTGTTATCCTGTGTGTTATCACCCCCTGTATGATCCCTGCTGTGTTATCCACCCCTGTGTTATCCTGTGTGTTATCATCCCCTGTGTGATCCTGTGTGTTATCACCCCCTGTGTGATCCTGTGTGTTATCACCCCCTGTGTGATCCTGTGTGTTATCACCCCCTGTGTTATCCTGTGTGTTATCATCCCCTGTGTGATCCTGTGTGTTATCACCCCCTGTGTGTGATCCCTCCTGTGTTATCACCCGTGTGATCCTGTGTGTTATCACCCCCTGTGTTATCCTGTGTGTTATCACCCCGTGTTATCCTGTGTGTTATCACCCCCTGTATGATCCCTGCTGTGTTATCACCCCTGTGTTATCCTGTGTGTTATCACCCCCTGTGTGATCCTGTGTGTTATCCACCCCTGTGTGATCCTGTGTGTTATCACCCCGTGTTATCCTGTGTGTTATCACCCCCTGTGTTATCCTGTGTGTTATCACCCCCTGTGTGATCCCTGCTGTGTTATCACCCCGTGTTATCCTGTGTGTTATCACCCCCTGTGTGATCCCTGCTGTGTTATCACNATCCTGTGTGTTATCACCCCCTGTGTGATCCCTGCTGTGTTATCACCCCGTGTTATCCCCCCCAAATCTTCTCAGGTGCTCTGACCATCCACCCCAGCTGCATCAGCCTGGCTGGGGCTCGGAAAACAAGAGGCAAAGCGTGTTCAGAGCCTCAGCCCCAATTTTGGGGTGGGATTTTGGGATGTCTGTACAGGGCCAGGGTTGGACTGGATGATCCCTGTGGGTCCCTTGGGATATGTTGTGATTCCAGCCTTTGCAGTGGCAGCACAACCCAGCAGCAATTTCAAAAACCCTGAAATTTTGGCACGGTGAGGCAGCACAGGAGCAGCACCCGGCTGCAGGGACTGCCCAGAGGGTTTGGGAGCTGCCTCAGGAGAAGTTTGTGCAAAAACTGCCCCAAAGCACACCCAAAATCCCCTTTATTGCCTCTGCCTGAGCCCCCAGAGCAGCTCAGCTCTGTCAGTGTTGTGTCTGGCAGCCCTGGCAGCAGATAACATTTCCAAATCCCAGCAGGAATGTTCTGGATCACTGGGAATTCCTGGGATGTGCTCCTGAGCATCCTGAGCTGGGCAGTGACAGCGACAACACCCAGGGGCTGCTGGAGCCAGAGCCTCTGGACAGCCCCAAAACTCCCCTGAAATCCCTGAGGAATGGCACTGACAGCCTAAGGAATGCCCTCAGCTATGGGTAAGGTAAGGTAACCCAAAAAGTGACCCACAGGGCATCTTCTAACCCCCAAAAATACCTATCAGCCTCCAAAAATGCTTTCACAGGGCTTCCTCCTCCCAGCCCCAAATAATTATTTTATAGGGCATCTCCCAACCTCCAAATCATGATTTCACAGGGCTTGTCCCAACCCCCAAAGATTATTTCACTATTGCACTATTTCACATAGTCACCTATTTCATTATTTCACAGGGCATCTCCCAGACCCCAAAAAATGACTCCACAGGGCATTTCCAGCCCCAAAAAAACTACACCACAGGGCATGTCCTAACCCCCCCCAAAAAATGACTTCATGGGGAATCTCCCAGCCTCAAAAAATGATTCCACAGGGCATCTCCATCCTTTCCTCCCACAGAACCCCCGCCCTGGTTCCATGGAAACTTTTCCTAAGTCGAGGCTTGTGTGTCCAGATAAGAGCAGTGATTAGAGGAACAAAACCAGTTTTTACGAAAAGGAGCAGAAAAAGCCTCTTGTGAGAACATCTACCCTCAAAAACAGAGCCACAGACAGCTGGGAGCACAGCTCAGAGCTGATATCCCAAAAAAATACATTCGGGAATGTCGGAATCTGAGGTATTGATGATTCTGAGATTGTAAAAGTCTCTGTCTGTCAGCCCGCTGCCAAAGCAGAAGCCAGAATTGGTCTGTGCTGGTTTCCAGGTTGTTTATTCTGTTTTTCTCTCACATGTTCTGCTGCCCTGCCCAGCTCTGTCCTGCAGGGCAGCGTGTGGGGCTCTGCCCTCAGTGGGATGTGACAAACATTCAATACCAGAAACTCCCTGGGCTGCATTTACAAGAACGTGCCAATATCTGTCACCTCCGTTGGACAGTGTGTCCCCAGCCTGAACCAACAGAAAAATGCCAACACCACAGTGAGACATGGAGGGCATGAAGGAGGAGAAAAAGGACAAGGCACACCCAATTTCCTCCAGCTTGTCCCCTTTGGACCCCTCATCTAGAATCCTAAAATTTTACTTTTGCACCCGTGCCACACTTAATTATTACTTATATCAAACCTAATTATTATATCAACCCTAATTATTACTTATATCAAACCCTCAGAGTTGGTAATTGATCCTGTGAGATTGAAAACTCTTTTCCATGACAGAGGTCACAGCCAGTGTCTCTGGGGCTCTGTCCAGGGGGTTCCTGACCCCTGCCAGGGTCCCAGGGCAGCCAGAGGGAATTCCTGGATTCCCACAGGGAAGACACAAGAAGCTCCTCCCAGGCAGGCAGAAAATGGGAATGGGGAGGGTTTGAGGTGAATTTATGGGAAATTAGAGCAGACCCACAGCAGTCACCATCTCTGCATCTTCTCCTGTGCGCTCACAACTCTCTGGCCTGGATTTTTCTGGGAAAAGGGATTTTTGTTGCCCTGCAGGAATGCTGAGGTGCCTCGGGCACAGATTTCTGCTCCCCACTGATGGCTCAGCATATGGGAACAATCACGTTCCCCTCCACACACGAAAACATCCACGTCTTTCCCAAACTATTCACAGGCAATTTTCTCCTGACAAAGCTCCAAACTGGGAGACTTCAGGCCAAAAGAATAAAAAAAAGGTGCCATTTATGTACTCATTCCCTATTCCTGTCTCTGTTGAACTGATTATAAGAAACAGGGGCTAAACAATGATTTTAAAAATTTAAAACAGGGAGAAAGAATTATATTCCCCCAAATTCTGGGGAGTACAAGATGCCTCCTCCTTCTGAGGGAGTTTTCCTCCCTCTTCCCTGTGTCTTTTTGCAGAACCGTGTCATAAATCAGTGATTTCCCCTGGGCATTTCCCTTTTTCCCCTCTCCCCCACCACGGAATCTTCCTTCAAATCCATGTTGCTTGTGAAAATAATTGGATTTCTATTTTACCTTGGAGTTTTGGAGAGGGAAGCAGTGACCAGAGTGTTCCTTAAAGTGATTGAATATCTCTGTTCCAGTCTTAATATTGAAATCTTTGTCAAAGAGTCAAATTTGATAGGGAGATTTGAAACACTCCAGTGTCATTTTAATCTTCAGAATAAGAATTTTGTTTACCCTGTGGTTTACATTAAGGCATTAAGAAAAATGTCCCAGTGAAGGACTAGGAGAACCTAAAAAGGGCATGGAGGCTCCACAACTGGAGCATTTTAAGAACATTTAATGCCAGTTTGTGATATTACAACTCAAAGCAACATGAATTATGAAATAATCAGCCCTTTCCCCTCCTTTTCTGCCATCCACTCAGGTTAAAAGCTCGGTTTTTTAAAAATTATTATTCTTATTTTCCAGCAGGATCAGTTCATCCCATGAGCACAGGTGCCTGGCCTGGCCCAAAGAAGAGCCAAATCAAAGAAGTGTGGGGTGAAAACAGCAGTGAACAGCCAGAATTAAATGTTTCTTTGTCTTTTAGTGAGATACTGGTGGAACCTTACCTTGATAAACTCTGCCTGTAACAGCACAGATATGAGAAACTTTCTGCTTTTCTGCATTTTTAACAGCATTTTAAAAATTAAGAGGCTACAGCAGCTACCACACACCAAATTTGTGCTTTGGGGCGTAAGAGAAACCTAAAAATCTGGTACAAAAAACCCCTAAAAATTTAGGTACAAAGCTAAAATTTGAAAACCAATCTTGATTTGTTCCTGTTTTCCTCTCCAACCCCCTGTGAGCTGCACCTACCTTCGTACATCTCCAGGATGTGAACAGTGTCCCCCACCTGCAGGGACAGCTCCACGTCCTGCACGGCCTCGTAGTTGTAGATGGCTGAAAAATGGGGAGAAAAGGAGCAAAAACAGAACCGTGAGGGAATCAGCTTTGGGAATGGGCTCTCCAAAGGCAGGGGAGGAATTTGGGAAAAGGAATGAAGTGATTCAATGCCCCTGGGTGTGGAATACACTGGGAAAGGACAGCCTGTATCCATTTCCAGATTTTATCATGCAGAAATAGATAAAATCTAGTTTATCTATTGAAATATAGATTATCTATGAAATTATATATCAAATATATTATTTGACCTTCCAGACAGGCCTGGGACACCTTCTGGAGGAGCTGCACGTTCTCACTTTGCCAAAAACCTGCCCACAGAGGTCACCACCACCTCAGGCACATCAGTGCCATAATTCTCATTTTTCAGTCTTCCTCAGGAGCCACTCCAGCATCAGAAAACATCAGAAATGGGATGTTGTAATAAAAACCACCCTTGCTCCAGACTAAACCATTCCCAAACCAAATCACACTTGTTTGCTGCTAAAGGCTCTGCCCAGCCAAGAAACAATTTTAGCACCAAAACTTGGGATTCTGTGCAAATTTAATCCCTCCCAAAGACAAAATTAAACTGGATGCTTATGGGATTTCCAGTGGGAATAGGATTAAGTGCAGGAGCCCACACTCCTGGAGTGCTTTTTCCCTGGGATTTGCTGCAGCTTCTCGGGGCAAAGCAGAGCCCTCCCTGGGACCAGATGAGAAATTTAAACTAAATTTGCTTTCAAACCAAGTAAAAAGACATCAGTGAAATGTTTTGAAAAAAAAAAATCAGCGAAATGTTTTGCTGTGGTTCAGGGAATTGAGCAGCAAAGTCAGAGCAGACCAAACCCAGACCACCTGATTTATTTAAAATACTGATTTAAGAATAGATCACATCCTAAATGAGGCAATGAAATCTTCCCAAACACAAAATTCCCACATTTATGTATCCCTGAGGAAATCCATTGGTGAATAACCACATTTGGTTTTAAGAAAGCAAAAAAACCACCCGAATAATTTTCGGAGGGAAATTGTTGAGACTTCCCAAGGTTTGTGTTTGAGGAGCTCTGGACTGGAAATGAAATAAATAAATAAAAATCAGAGCTCTTTTGCCAGGAAATTCCCATGAAATGCCCCCATTCCCACTGGGATGAGGAGCTCTGCCTCCTGGCCGGGCTCCAGCACAGCCTGGGGCTTTCACCACCGGAAATTCTCTCCCTGATCAGAGGTTTTTCCAAATATTTTGGCTACAAATATCCCAACAGGCCGGGGATGTGCATCCCTGCAGGATCCCTGATCCCAGATTTCCTTGTGCAGGGCAGGCTTTGCTCCCAGACACATGGACAAGGCACTGAATCCTTGATTTCCACAGGATTACAGGAATTTTGCTGGATTTCTGCTCCTAAGAGCAGCTTCCTCACCCACCTTCCCCTCCCTCCCCACAGAAGTAAATCAGGATTTTAAAGCTGACTGGTGAGCTGGCTGAGCAGCTCAGACACCTTCAAGAGCCCAGAACGGGCCATGAAGTAAAAATTCCATTCACATTCTAACAGAAAAAAATCTGGATAATGTTCATGGCCAAAGCTGGACGTGAGTGAGAAGTGTGGAATGGTTTGGGCTGGGAGGGGATTTAAATCCCACCCAGTGCCACCCCTGCCATGGCAGGGACACCTCCCACTGCCCCAGCCTCCCCAGCCTGGCCTGGGCACTGCCAGGATCCAGGGCAGCCACAGCTCACTGGGAATTCCATCCCAGCCCATCCCCACCTTCCCAGGCAGGAATTCCATCCCAAAATCCCATCCATCCATCCATCCATCCATCCATCCACCCATCCATCCACCCATCCATCCATCCATCCATCCATCCATCCATCCCTGCTCTCTGGCAGTGGGAGCCATTCCCTGTGTCCTGTCCCTCCATCCCTTGTCCCCAGTCCCTCTCCAGCTCTCCTGGAGCCCCTCCAGGCTCTGAGCTCTCCCTGGAATTTCCCTTCTCCAGGTGAACATTCCCAGCTCTCCCTGGAATTTCCCTTCTCCAGGTGAACATTCCCAGCTCTCCCTGGAATTTCCCTTCTCCAGGTGAGCATTCCCAGCTCTCCTGGATCC